ATTTTTATAGAATTATTTTTAATTTATAATTAAAACTCCAAAATATAATTTATAAAAATTTAAAAAAAAATATTTTAATAAATATATTTTTATAATTATTATAAGTAAATTTAATTTTAAATAATATATTAGTTTAATAATCTTAATTTTTTATTATAAAATATCTTAAATAATATTCTAAGACTTAATTTACTTTTTTAATTTAGTTATTAATTTAAAAATAAAATATTATTAATAATCTTCTTTTTATTTTAATTTAAAAATAGAGATTTAACTAAAATTAATTAATAAATATTAATTTTTTATTAGTAATTATATCTATAAATAATTTATACTTTAATTTAATTTTTTAATAAAAAATATTAATTAATTATCTTATATATATTATATATAATACAGGTAAAAAATTATATAATTTTATAAAATAATTAATAATAATAAATATTAAATTAAACTAAGTTTTTTAATAATAAAATTCTAGTAATTTAATAATAAAATTTATAATAATTTTAGTTTAAAACTATAATAAAATTGATAGACTTTTAAATTTTTTATATAATTAATATCTAAAAATTATTTAATATTAATAAGTTAAGTATATTACTATATATTTTTTTATTTATTTTTATAAATTTATCTAGTAAAATTTTCTTTTAATAAATTATTTTATTTTTTTTAAAGTAATCTACTAGTAGATTATTATAATAATATTATAAAATCTTTTTATAAAAATTATTTAATTTAGATATATATAGTTTTTTTTAAAATATAATAATATATTAGTAATAATATTCTAATTTTTTAATTTAAAAATAATAATTTTTTATTATAGAATATTTAAATTTTTAAATTATAATTACTTAAATAAACTTTTTAAATCTTTATTAATTTTATTATTATAAATATTCTTAGTTTTATTAATTTATTTTACTACTAAAATCTTAATAATTTAAATTAAATCTAGTATATAAATTATAACTTAATTAATTAATTTTATATTAATATATTTTATAAAAATACTTAATACTATATAAATACTAGATTTAAATTTTTTATAAAGATATTTTATTATATCTAAACTAGAATTTCTTCTTGAATACTATTAAGTAATAGATTAAATAAATCTAAAATACTTATATAATATTATTATTATAATTATTATTTAATATATTAAAAAACTTAGATAAAATATTAGTAGAGTTAGTTTTTTTATTATAAAATATTAATTTTATATATTAGTATACTTAATACTTATTTAATTATAATTAATTTATAAAAACTTAGAGGTTTATATAATTTAATAAAATTTTAATAATATATTAAGTTTCTTTAGATATTAATACTAGTATTTAAATAAATAAATAATAATAAATAGCTTTTAGTTTAGAATTATCTAATTTAATTCTACTTTAATAAATTTTCTTAATTAGATAATAATTATATAGAATTAATTTATAAATATTAATTATATAAAAATTCTAGTTATTCTTTTTTTATAAATATTAGTTTTAATTTAGATTTAATATAGAATTAAAAAATAAAATAATAATATTTTTTAAAATAAATTAATAAATTAATATAATACTAGTTATTTATAAAGTATAAAATAATATAAACTAGGTTTTTTTATTATTTTAATTATTTTTTAATAAGTTAATTAAAGATAAAATAAGTAATAAAAAATTATAAATAAATTATTAATAAAAATTATAAAATTTAAGAAAAACTTATACTTTACAAAATTTTCTCAATAATAACTAAAAGATAATAATATTTATTTATTAAAAATTTATAATAATATCTTAGAAAAATATTATATAACTAAAAAAATTTAATTTAGGTCTAAAAAAAATATTTTAAAACTTTAATATATAAATCTACTTTTCTTAATTAGCTTATAACTTATTTAATATATTTAATATATTTAATTTTTATTATTAAGAAAATAAGAATATTATCTAGATAAATAATATAAATAATATCAAGAATATTATATAATATAAAATAAATATAATTTTTAAAAAAAATAAAAATATTAGTTAAACTAAATAATATAACTAAGTATTTAAAATAATTATAATATATTTAAAATATAATCTTTTATTTATCTTTTTTTTAATATAAATTTAATAATAAGTATTATATATATTAATCTTATTAAAATATTTATATTTTTATAAGATAATCAAGAATTTCTATAATAAATAAAAAAAATAATAATTCTTAATTATAATCTTATTAAGATAATAGTAATATATATAAAAATATAAACTTTTATTTTTTTTAAATATAAATAAAATAAAAAATTCTATAAGATTTTTAAATAATTAAATTCTTTTATTTTTTAAGTTTTTATTAATATATTACTTTAAAATTAATAATTTCTTTTTAAATAAAAAATAAATAAAGTTAAATAAAGATTTTCTATTATTAATAAAATTAATAATATAATTATTTTTATAGTAATTAATAATCTTTTAAACTAGTTAAAAAAAATCCTAAAAATCCTAAAAATTTATTAAAATATTATTATTCTATAAATATTCTAGTATTTTATTTTCTATAAATAATTATAATTTTTTTAATAATTTAATTAAAATATATATATAAATATAATTTTAATATATTTTAATAAATTTTTAAAAATATAATTCTTATATATTATAGAATTTAAACTATTATATTTTATTTTATAAACTTAAATAGATTTTATAGTTATTAATAGTAGTTATAAATAATAAAATAAAAATATTATTAGAATTATAATAAATTATTATATAAAATTTAGTAAACTATTATTAAATTTCTCTTGAATTAATTATTTTAATAAGAATATTTTATATTTTATAATTAAAAATTATTCTGTTATTAATAATCATTAAATTTAAAAATTATAATAAAATTTTTATAATATATTTAGGTTTTCCTATTTTTACTTTTATTTTTATTATTATAAGTATAAATTTTAATAATAAATAATGAATATAATTATTTTATTATATTCTTTAGATAATTGATAAATATATCTTTTAATATATTAATTAAAATTAAGAAGCAGCTTAATAAAGAAAATAAATTTTTTTTTTAATATTTTTAAAAAAATACTATTCTAGTATATTAAAATAAATATAAAATTTATATAAATCTTAATTATTTTATTATTATATTTATTTAAGTTAACTTATTATATATAGTTTAAATATAGTAGTATTTCTTATAAAAAAATAATTTTTTTAATAAAAAAAACTATAAATAATTAATAAGTTTTTTTTATTTTATATTATACTAAAATCTTTTATTAATAAATTATAAATAACTAGAATAAAAAATTTAATATTTATAAAAAAATTTCTAATTTTAAATTATTTTTAGAATATAGTTATTAAAATAATATCCTATACTCTTTTTTTATAGATAAATAAAAAAAGAATTAAAATTATAAAAAAAGATTAACTAGATATAGAATTAAAGTATTAATATTATATAAATATAAATTAATTCTTACTTTTCTAATATATAATAAAGTCTAGATATTTAAGATATAGATTCTACTAAATTATTAATATTATAATTATTTTATAATTAAAGTATAGGTATTCTGTTACAGTAACCACTTAGTTATATAGATTAACCATAACAATAATATAATATATAAAGAATTAAAGTAAAATATAAATATAAATATAAAATATAGAATAAAATTAACTATTTTAATATAATTAAAATTTCTAAATATATATATTCTAATAGCTATTCTAATTTAATAAAAAATTTTAATAATTATTAAAAACTTAAGTTTAATAATTAATTAAAATACTATTTAAATATCTAAAAATAGCTAATAAATTTTATAAGAAGATTAAAAATTTTATATAATATAAATTTATAAATATTTTATAAAATAAAATAAGTATAATATTATTAAAATTATAAAATAGATATAATAATAAATAAATAATAAATTTATTATAAAAAATTAATATTATAATATTTTTAAAAAATTAAAAATTAATTATTTAATAAATAATAATTAAATAAATTAATTTTAAGAATATTAAGATAATAATCTAAGAATATTAAAATTAATATTAAAATTAATAATATAAAATATAATCAATAAATAAATATAATAAATAATAAATAATAAAATAAATAAAAATAATCTAATATAAATATTTAATATAATATAAAAAAAGTTTTATAAAAAATAAATAACTAATAAAATTCTAAGATAATATATTAATTTAAAATTATAAATAATATTATTAATTAAAAAATAAGATAAATAAATTAAAGCTAGAATAAAAATAATAAATTAAAATTAAAAAATTAAATATTTTATAATAAGAAAAGTAGATATAAAAAATAAAATTAAAAATAATAAAAAATTTATTAATATAGAAAACTATATAATTTATTAAATAAAAGAAAAAATATTAAGATAAAAAACCTAATATATAATAAATAAAAAAATAAATAAATATAAAAATTAAAAAAATCTTTAACTAATATAAATCTTAATATAATATCTTATATATTAGAGAACTAGAATATATTATTTTATATTATAATAATTAATAATAAAGCTAAAAAGTAAATAAATAAAAAAATTAGATTAAGAAAAAAATCTTAAAAATAATTAAAAATTAAAGATTTAAGAAGTCTTCTACTAGAGTAGTATAAAAAATAATAAAAAAATAAAATAATAAAATTCTTAGTTAAGCTAAGGTTTACTATAATTCCTTTTTTTATTCTCTACTTTATTAAATACTCTTTCCTATTTCTTTAATAATTTACTATAGTTTCTTTTCGTAATTATTCTGAGGATATACTATATACTATATATATACAACTTAATTATTATGAAGACTAGATTTATGAGTATAGTATCTATAATGATTTTAATCAAGATAGAATTCTATCATCTATACTTGACTATTTCCTTGACTATTTTCAGTGGTTCCGAGGGTTTTTACTTATTACTTAGTTTTTCTTTAATTCTTCCTCTATTAGCAGTACAGCCGGTAAAAAGTCTGATCAGGGACAGCCCACCCCTCCTTTATATCACAGCAAACTTATGGATGCTCCAGAAAAGTCCAGTGCCACTCGGCCTTTCATTTTCTTTTCCGCATATACTTAAAAAGTCTCAGGTAACTTGCTCCCAAGTCCCTATCAAGAGCCAAATACAAGTTGAAGTACTTTCCCATCACCGTTTGCGTCTTTCTTCCTCCTTTCGCAGCCGCTTGCGACTCTCCCGAGCGATCATATCACTCAAATCCTCTTGAAAATCCCAGCTAGGGTCTGTCTCACGCTGCTTTTGTGACTCGTACATTTTCCTGATGTCGCCCTGGCCGATGCCCTCTTCTGACTGCAAAGCATCTGGATCAAAGGAAACGTCGACATCACCAGGCTTCTTCCGCTTTCTGTTGGCATCCTCGGATCCCAGTACAGGTAGATCGTCCGAAGTCTTGTGGAGATCATAGACCTTGTCAGCCCCGAAAAATCCTTGAACATGCGCCTGTCTTTCAGGTATAACCTGGAAAGCGCTTCTTTGACCCGTGGATTCCTCTGTTTGAGTTCCTCGATAATGCTTACGCACGTCGAACTCCCCAGAAATATTTTCAGGGCCACTTGTCTCCGTGGGAACAGCTGATGCCAAACCGCTGGGGGTTTCCAAACCACTAGGAGTTTGTAATCCCGTGTCCACATCATCGTCGTCATCGTCGGTAGCAGCACTGCTGGCTGCATCATCTTCACCTTCTTCGCTTTCATCGTCACTTAATTCCGGCGCCTGTAACTCCCCCCAAAGATCCTTCTCCACAGGTTCACCCTGCTGCACCACCTGCTGAGGCTGTAAAACGCCAAAAATGTCACCACCGTAAAGAGGTCTGTTATGTTCGTCGACTGGAGGTTTTCCATACCCTCCGGGATGATAACCCCACATCGCACCCGGTGGCGGGGGAGCGTTAAGACCAGGTATTTTGAGCGCAGGATAGGACGGTGGCGGCCCATATCGCTGTTGATTGATCAACCACGGAGGCGGGGCACCGGGCGGCATGTTCAGTGCCTCCTTCAACTCTGCACTAAGTTCTCCAGGCCTCAGGTGCCTCAGGTTAGTCTCGTACTCCTTGCCCTCATAGTAAACCTCCCCATAACGTGTGAGTTCTGGTTTGGTTTGAAATCGGAAAAATGCCTCGTAGAGTTTTTGGTAATCAATGTCCAGTCTCCCCATCTTTGGCTGGACCCTTTCTCTCTGCTTCTGTTTCAAAGTTGCCTGCTCTTGCTTCTCCAAAGCAGCATCGCGCATTTCTGATATTCCTGTCTCCTGAATGAACTTGGGCAGCGCAAATGGAGCTTTCTCGACACCTCTTTTCGATGATAGATACTCTCGTTTCAGAGACCAGTGAGAAGGCACGGGCACGACATTCCGGTACGACTTGAGGTGAACAAGCAGTCTCGGATCTGGTGCTGAGGTATCTGTCCATTCAACTATTTCTGGTTTTCGAACCATTGCCTTCAATTCGGCAACGGAGAGTTTGTTCAATTCCTTCCTCTTTCGTCTTGATAGCACAGGCTCCTTCTCCTCTTCGTCGGGAATTTCATTATCCTCATCGAAATATACGACAGGCTTAGTAGGTTCTTGGGTTGCTAAGGGTGTGTTCCCAGAGTTATCAAATTTGTCAATAACATCCTTGTACATTTGCCACAACGCGTTGTCATTTTCTGGAGTCACAATATCCTGGAGTTTTTGTGGGACAGCTTCAGGCGCGGGAGGCGACAGAACGTTATTGTCCGAGAAGTGCGCATTGGGTGTTTCTGAAGTAGTCTCAATTGAATTGGCCTTTGACGATGCCAACAGATTAATGAGTAATACTTCTCGGGTCTAGACATGAACAACTTACCTGAGATTTCAGGGCCTTCCTCTTTGCCCTTCTCAGCTGATTCTTATTGGCCTTCATGGCTGGGCGTCACTATCAACAAACCGCCTGCCTGTTCTCGACCACGCACTGTGAAAATGTATAAAAATTTCACCCTAAAGATGCAACAATTTGGGCAAGTGTAAGTCAAAGGATTTGAATGACAACGGAATGATTAGAAGTGAAGCTAACAAGATGGGAGGATTCCTGCTCGGTGTTCTTGGGTGCGAAGTATTACAGCCACTAGTGAGAGTTGAATCATGTGATCATGCTCTGTCGTGGCGGCATGCTACTAGGAAGTACCCGCCGGACTACTCGTATGAGATGATCCTGAGCGCAGACCTGACTGACCTATTTACCCAGTGGCTATATCCCTCTATGCTGTGAAAAAACCTACGAATATGCTTTCTGGGTCTGAGATTACCATGAACAAACTGAACATCCTTATTGTATTAACCCAACGCCCACAAGGCAGATCTCCACGATTCGCGTGTTTTCGATGTTCTGTGAGAATCGAGCCAACAGATACATTATGCCAACGAAGATAGTCCATGATATTCCTATACAATAACTCATTGTACGAGGAAGACCATTTTCTCAAACATAACCGGCAGTCTGCGTTTTGCGCTAAGAAGCAATCTATTTCTTCTTCTTGGCTGACCGCGATTCTACACATTTGTTTCAAATGAGTCCTTGTCTTTGGGGTTTTCGAGTGGTTGACGTGATAAACATTACCTGCAGCTGTTCTCTTCTTCTTCGGCCTGCCTTTCCCTCGCAGTTTGGCACTGTTGCAACCCGTAAGAATCAATCGAAAAGAAATTGGAAGGCACATACATTTGAAGAGCCTCTTCCCTATCATCCTCCCTTTCATCAAACATCGTCAATCCCAGAGGCTTGTACGTGGCTTGCAAATCCCGGAAAGAAACTGTCTTCTTGGGGTACCATGCTGCAAGACTTGGACCACGTAATCTTTGCCGTAAGACCTTGTTTCCCAACCGTAGTCTCTCGGGGTTGAAATTCAGTGAGAAGATCCGACACTGGACCTGCTGGGAGATAAGCGGGACGTTCACAGCAAGCATACGAATTTGAAATTGCAGGAGGTGTTTAAGTTCTTTGGCGCGACTTAAATTGTCCGAAAGACCATACCTTTGCCAGATCTAGTATTCGACTGTATTGGGCCGCCATTTCAAGGCTGGCAACTGGGCGATAGCGACTAGGATGAGGTTACGAATCGTGGCTAAGGCTCTACCCCCTATCGACTCTTCGAATGACATCACGTGATAGATAACTTTTCTTACCGTGGAACTGATCTACGCTGTCCACCATTTCACCTGGCCTACAAACACGTCTGTTAGCATGCATTCGAAAAGGAAGTCGGTTTTTTCTCCGGCCTTGAATGGCGATAGCAAAAAGACCAAGGTACTTCAATTCGACCGATTGATTGTGGATTCGTGTGCTCCAGATTCTGACATAAAAGTAGCATAATGAATCTCGATGTGCCCATCATCAATCTTTATTTCATGAAATCCACCAAGATGAAGCACTATCCACCTTGAAGACCGTGGTTCGCAACATTATTGACAATCGCAGCTCTTCATTAACCAAGGGCAAACCGTCAGGCGAATCGAAGATCCTAAGGCTATTGACAGAGCTTGATGTTGCTCTACGCGACGCAGAAGCCCTTGTCCCGTCATCCATCGCTGCGCAAGGTCCGAAGTCTCGGAACGCTGCAATAAGCCAGAACCCTTTGATGCCTGAATTGCCTTCGATTACGGATAGCACTCTTCGAAACGCAGTTTTCACGCATCCGGGCATGAAAAATGATATCAGAGCCACATATGATCGCCTCGAAGTCCTCGGAGATGCCTACATAGAAGTCATATCCACGCGGCTCATTTGGGATAGGTTCCAGAACATATCATCTGGCCGGATATCGCAAATCCGCGAGCTACTTGTAAAAAATGAAACCCTAGCTGAATTTGCAACAAGGTATGGATTTGACACCAAAGCTTCGGTGCCATCAGACTACATGGATCAACCCAAAAGATGGTTAAAAACAAAGGCGGATCTTTTCGAGGCATACGTTGCAGGTCTTATATTATCCAACCCAGCTGGTTATGATATAGCTAAAGAATGGTTGTCGCAGTTGTGGTTGCCTACACTCGAGCGACTTGGTGAGCAAAGGTCTTCTTTACATGCCAAGGAAGCGCTGGCCAAGAAAATCATGGGGAAGGGTGTTAAACTCCATTACACTGATGAACGCGCCCCTTCGCAAAGAGGAAAAGAGCCGCAAATCTTCCATGTGGGGGTATATCTGACTGGCTGGGGTTGGTACAATAAACATCTTGGTTCTGGCCAAGGTACCAATAAAGCTATCGCAGGTGATGAGGCAGCCCGGCAAGCATTACTCAATGTCTCACTAATTGACGAGATCATGAAAATGAAAAAAGCAGAGCCGTTGCCAGAATCTTGAAGGTCTCTCCGCACCTCCTGTGATCGCGAGGCCGACAATTTCACTATTCTGATTTCAGTCTAAACCACCAAACCTCCTTGTCCATGCCTCAACATACCCAGGTTATCATGAGATTGGGGCTGAAAGTCTGCTCGAACACCTTGAATTATTGGCGATCTCAGTCCCTGCGAAATACTTGAGGTTATACTCGACCAATCACTTATCTTTGACCCTCGTGTAGTCAGCACCTAGTCTAGGTACGAGTAGGATGTAAAAATACATGAATGACTCAAAGTTAGGGTTTCGATGATGCTTCCCCCTCCCATTAGTCACACGAGGAATCAAGCATACTGATTTGTAGGATGACACATATTTTCGAAATCAACTATCTACACGTACTGGCAGGACGCTTTTGTGGTCATGAGACCTACCAAATCTTGTAATCCCCATGAGTTAGCAAGAAATTGAAATATGTTGTTCGCAAGATAGCTGCTACCATTTGTCTACGGAGTAATGTGATATCCATTGAAAGGGCTATGGGCTTGCCCGCTCTTCAAGGTCAACTCACTGTAAGCTGGAGGTATTTAACTGCACACTGGTGGCTACACTCACCAATTACACTCACTAATCAGCACGCCTTATTATATATGAGCCACCCACTACACTGCCACACCGCCAGGTGTTTCTTACCCCTCAATGGATCCATGATGAACGTGGACAATACCAATACCAAATAAGAGACGAGTCGAGAGTACAGTACAGTACACCTGTATAGTATACAGTATAGAATTACATTATACTGTACAGTGTAGAGATGTGTAATTACAAGGATCTGGAGAAAGTTCTATACAAACATAATATGAGGGTTCAACCTTCTATACTTGTCATATTTCAATCACGTGAATTTGATTCCGGGTGTAGCCAGTTAATAATAAATATCTTTTTCTTTCCTGTATTAAAACATATATAATCAATAAATTAAATTAAAATACTTATTATTAAAATATTTTCAAATTTCTGATTTATCAAGATTTAAAAAAGACTCTAAGTTAGTATATAATTCTATATAAAATATAAATTTCTTAAAATAAGTTAGAGATAAAAAAATCCTATAATAACCTCTCTCTGAAACAAACTGCTGATATTATTTTTTTGAATTAAAAATATTAACTAGTCAACCATCAAGGAATTAAGAAAAGAGTATCCCACTTTATATATATGTATCACGTGTTGAAATTTCTAGAAATAAGTTCCTTACATACCCCTGAAATCCAGCCTCAATTCCATACATTTCATTACATTTCATCTTCCCTAGTACAGTACTTATGACCAAAATGAACCCCGCTTTCCCTAGGCAATTGTCGTCATGTGGCAGATCATCAATCGACCCTTTCCATCATATGGTATGCTCCATAGCATCATCGTATCTGTTGCTAATATGCCAGTATAGTATCACATAACCGATAATTGATCTCCGCATCTCAATCTGCAGGTCATCAGATTCACAGCCTCCACACAGTTAGCGTCTTGACTCTTGAGGGATGCTGGCTTTACATGTGTATTTGCCTGTCGCTGTCGCCACGCGCAAACCCCGCAATCCCATGGTCGCTGAAGTTGCTTCTATTTGGTACCTTAGGCCCGGCAATCCGCGCATTGACTCATACTCCATCCAGCCTTAGCCTGTTTCTTCTGATCTGATGGAAAGGGGGCTTCGGTCAGAAACATCATTCATATCGGCTCAAAGATCTCGTGGGCGCTCTTTATCGAACACACTCTCAGCGCAAAGCAAAGGCAGAAAATATTTCTGCCTTCGCCCGATACCTAGTATACATCCCTTTTCTCGGTCATTGTGTGAGCCTTATCGCCGAGATCCAAGCCATACCTACTTATTGCCACCAGACAAAGAGGCCGCCCTGACAAATCAACAGCACGTGTGTTTTGCCAGCATTGATCAGGTCCCAATTCCATTTACTTCCATTAACACCATATCAGTGCTCAAAGCGCCTCTTCGCTCTGTGATTAAAAACTGCATTTGCCCAAGGCTGACCTTTTAATCAGTGACTCCTGCTCCTATATTCACTTTTGAACCAAACTTGGCTTACCCCTCCCCGAATCTCTGGCCCAAACTTGGGAGCCTTTCCCCGTGATGACCTCACTCACTACTGCCTCATCGCTAAGTCAAAGTGACAAAGCCAATATGAGTCGCCTGCCATCCGTTTCCAGTTTGATGTCACCTCCAGAGTCGAAACCTCTGGATGTCTTCAATTCGATTACGATGTCCAATTTCACACTACCGCAGGATCCACCATATAGTCATAGCATGGAACTACCTTTCATCTCGGGTGATCGAAAGCGTACGCAGTCAGAAATGGACTTGCCATCACCACCTGTCACTCCCTATGCTGGAACTAAGAAGAGGAAATCGAACGTTTCCGAACAAATTGACAAAGATGCTGTCATGGGCTCATCCAGAGACCCTCTTCTTTTCCCGCGACATGAATCTATAAATGATATTGCCACTGATGAACCTTTGTTTGGGCCCATGCCTCCTAACACCACGGAAGCGTTGGTCAACCAACATATCAATTCTCACATGGCGAGATTCGAGAACAAACTAAATAAGCCGACACGTGAGGAGTATCTTCTAGCTCTTTCGTGTGTACCGATTGTATCTTCTCAATTTAACCGCAATCCAGCAGCATGGGCCAAACAGGAGCGAGAGACATTAGAGCGTCAGTTGTCATTGATGAACCATTCTCGTCCTCGTGTATTAGAGGCCGGGTTGAAGAAACTTGCACCGGCACCCACGAAGAGGACGCTGGCTGCACAGCCTCGTGTTCAACGGGCGTCTAGAGTAAAGCGAACTCCGAAATCTACACCAAAGCAGAAGATTCTCGACAGCTTTGACATACCACTGTCGAGCGCAAAGCAAGCTCGCTCTATAGGGACCAATCGGGACGATATTAATTATAGCTCCATCCAAGACTTTTCCCCTTCGATAGAGACTCTTGGCGGCAATTCAAAGGCTTTGAAAGCAGATTGGAAAGGGCAGGTGTTAGATCTCAGTCAGGATCCAGACAGGCATCTACTCAGCTCGGCCGAGCTCGGCCTGGCAGCAACTTTGAGGCTCTCATGCGCAACGTATCTGTGCAGCAAGCGGCGGATTTTCGAAGCTCGAGTCAAGGCCCTAAATGTCGGTAAGGAGTTTCGCAAGACAGACGCCCAGCAGGCATGCAAGATCGATGTGAACAAGGCAAGCAAGCTGTGGACCGCGTACGAACGCGTGGGCTGGTTCAACCCAGAACATTTTCAACAGTATCGGCGACAATAGGGCCCGAGATTTTTCAATCACGTCCTCATAACGAGCATCTCCTACCACTTTGTGTCTTGCTCTCTGGCTAATTAGCGATTCGGTGCTCGATGTTTGACAGTGAATCGTGTCATATCACCACGCAATTTCTTTTAATCTTACCTCTTACCAACGGCCATGATTATAAGATGTTGTTTAAGTTTACATTTAGACATAGCAGGCTGTCTGTGATAACGTGACCTTCTGATACTTAACTCTAATGATGTTTGCTGATTCTGACTTCATACCCCCATGGCGACTGTCTCTCATCGAAGTACTAGCTTTGGTCTCATTGGCTCCACGTTGATGTGGTGGCTCCTCTGTTATATGTCTTGTGAGGTGGCGTACGAGTGGGCTTAATTTATTTATTCCAGACCCTTTTTTTGCCTTGTGCTACTTGTTGAAGATCTCCGATGTAATGTTCCATGGTAGATGCATTGGACTGTGCCTGAATCGATATTGTCATGATATTTCCACCAGGCAGGTACCTGTATTAGAGGTCTTCAGTAACTGTGACCAAGCCTAGACTAGGTGGGCATAACCTGTGTAAATCAGAAAAGTAGACATCTTCATAGTAAATAAATCTTGGTTGTATATCATGAAGTTGGGTATTTCTGTTGCAACTTGAAAATAGTGAGTTTCATCCTCTGTGTCTGAGCATGAGTTATTTTCAAGATCTAATTCTTGCTTTCGAAGAATTTTAATTACTTCTTCTTATATAAAATAGATTTAAAAGGTACAAGGCAACTACTGGATACTTTTATATATCTAAACACATAAAATGTGTTATTGATCTATTGTGAAATTTCTTTTATAAGGGCTTTGTTGATTATGAAATGTGAACAGTTAAATCTACTTAGGACATAAGCGGCTGATAGTACAATATTCTCCTGATTCTGCCAGGCAGAACAGTAGGTTTTAGTCCTGGTTCGGTCCTAGGGTTGGTCATGGTTGCTGAAGACCTCTATTATTGCCGGAGGAGATCTAGGCCCAGGTCCCAGTGCGGTAGTTCAGCAGTAATTTTCATAGGAAGTTGTTAGAACTACCCTCCTTTATAGATATAACTATCCGGCTTTTCCCTGATTAGGGTACAAGTACTAGGGGGTAAAATAGTATGGTGAATGAATACCTCTCATAAGCATTAAAGATAGTAATCTAATATTTAAGATATCATTACTACTTTTCTATTTTGTTATTTTTACAGTAGTAGTTAATATCTCTTTATAATAAATTTATTATAAGAATTAAATATATTATGATTTATTTTTAATTCTAAAGTAGAATTAAGATTATATTTATAATATATTATTTAAAAATATTTTCTAGTACATGTATAATAATATTTAATATTTCTAAATAACTCTACTGTTTTTTTATCATTTTTGTATAATAGTTACAATTTATTTTTAGATAAATAGGATCAAATAAGCTAATATATTAATTTATAAATATTAGGAAAGAAAAAGGAAAAAAATATAGTAAACCTTAGTTTATCTAAAGATTTTATTATTCTATCTTTTTATTAATTTTTATACTGCCTTAGTAGAAGACTTTTTAAATCTTTAAATTTTAACTATTTCTAAGATTTTCTTTAATTTAATCTTTTTATATTATATTTTTTAGTTTAATTATTAACTACTATAATATATAATAATATATTTTAATTTTTTAATATATAAAATATTATATTAAGATTTATATTAATTAAATTTTATCTTTTTAATTTCTATATTTATTTATTTTTTTATTTATTATATATTAAATTTTTTATATTAATATTTTTTCTTTTATCTAGTTAATTATATAATTTTTTATATTAATATATTTTTTAATTTTTTAATTTTAATATTTATATTTATTTTTATTTATAAAATATCTGATTTTTTAATCCTGATTTATTATTTTTATTCTAATTTTAATTTATTTATCTTATTATTTTTTTATTATATTATTTATAATTTTAATTTAGTATATTATTTTAGAACTTAATATTATTTATATTTTTTTATAAATCTTTTTTTTATATTATATTAAGTATTTATTTTATATTATTTTTATCTATTAATTATATTTTATATTATTAATTCTTAATATTAGTCTTAATATTTCTAATTTATTATTTAAATATTTTTAGAATTAATTTACTAAATTATTAATTACTATATATCTAATCTTTAATTTTTATAAAAATATTCTAATATTAATTTTTTATAATAAATTTATTATTTATTTATTATTATATTTATTATTATAATTTTAAAAATATTATATTTATCTTATTTTCTAGAATATTAATAAATTTATATTATATAAAAATCATAATTTTTTTATTAAATTTATTAATTATTTTTATATATTTATACTATATTTTAATTAGTTATTAAATTTTTATATTAAACTAGAATAATTATTAAAATATATATATTCTAAAGTTTTAATTATATTAAAATAATTTATTTTATTTATATTATAAGTAGTAATATCTATTTCTATATTTTATTTTATATTAATTAAAGAATTTAATAATTTAATAATATTAATTTTAAGTTTTATTATATTAGAATAAATTAATTTTATTATTTTTAAATAATATAATATTAGTATTACTAATTAATAAATATTTTTTTTATTATCTAGTATTTTAATATTATAATTAAATTATTTATTAATTAGATATTCTAAATATTATTTAATAATTTTATTTTTTATTTTAATTTTATATTTATATTTTACTTTAGTTTTTTCTATACTATATTATTTCTTAGAATTTATTTTAAATTTAATAATTTTTTTATTTATAGTTATATTAAACAGTTGTTATTTAAATATTATAAAAAATATTTCTAAGTATATTCTTAAGAATTTATAAAATATATTAAATTTTATAAAAATATTATAATTTATAAATATTCTTATATTTTAATTACTTTTTTAATTAATACTAATATTAATTATAAATATAATATTATTAAACTAATTAAATATATTAAAATTATATTAATTAGTAATTTTAAAAATATTAATAAAAATATTTCTAAATATTATAAAAATATTCTTATATTAGTATTCTAGTATATTATTAAATATTCTAAATATTTAATATATAAATTATATTAGTTTTATTATATTAATATATCTAATATTATAAATATTATAAAAATATCTAGTAGTTTTTTTAATAATTTTAATTAATTATAAGAAATTATATTAGAAATTATACTAGTTAATATTTTTATTTATTTTAATAAAATAAATATTTATTTAAATTAAATAATAGGTATTAGTATTTTATATAATAATAGTATATTTTTTAATAGTAATAATAATAATTATTATATTAGAAATTATTTTAATAGTTATATAGATTTTTAGAATTTTAATATATATAATTAAAATTTCTATTATATAAAGAACTTTAAATCTAAAAAAATTAGTTATTTTTATTTTTATTTATTTTTAAATAAAGTTATAAAGTAAATCAGTAGAGAAATATATTATAAAAATATTAATATTTTTATTAATTATATTTATAATTTTATTTAATACCGCAGAGAACCTATAGTTAAATTAAATTTATAGATTTATATATATAATATAATTTTTATATAGTATATTACTAGTTTTATTAAATAAGAAAAATATTTTATAACTAATATATTATTAAATAATAAATAATTTAATAAATTAAAAAAATATTTTATGTTAAGTTTTTATATAATAATAATAAAATTAAGTACTCTATTTTATAGAATAATAATATATAAATTAATAAATATATTAATTTATTTATTTAAAAGATAATTTTTTATATTTATACTACTTATATAATTAATTTATTTTAATAATTAATTTATATTTAAAACTACCTGGATCTGTAACTCTATATATAATTAATATATTTAAATAAAAATAATATAGTTAATAAATTTTTTTAAATAATTTAATTTATAATAATATAACTAGAAAACTCTTATTTATATTATTTAATATAAAAAGTATTCTAGATTAAAATCTTAAAAAACTTATAAATTTTATATTTATTAAAAATTAAATAAGTTCTATAGAAATTTTAGAAATATAATAAAAATTATACTAATAATTATAATGTTAAATATAATAAAAAATATAATTAATAATTATATTAGAATTAGTAGAGTAATCTAAATCTAAATTAATAATTAAATAATTATTAATAATTCTAATAGTAGTAGTAATAATAATTTTATTTTTATATTTTAAATTAATTTTAGAATATATAAATCTTTTAATAAATTATAATAAGTAATTCTTTATCTATTCTAAATAATTATTAGTCTTAGAATAATAATAAGTTTTAAAAAAAATTAATATTAGTATAAATTCTAGAATTTAATTTTTAGATTATTTTAAAAGAATTAATAAAATTATAGATATATATATATAATTATTATTATTAATCTAATAATATTAATTAAAAAGATTTATTCTATCTATAAATAAAATAAGAAATATTATATTTAAAAATTTTAAATAATAATTAAAGTAGTTCTATAAATAAATATATAATTAGTATAAATATATTAATTATTCTAATTAACTTTAAATTAAAAAATATAATTATAATTAATCTAACAATAATAATTATTATAAAGACTATAATAATATTTATAATAAATATAATATATATATTATAAATAATAGTAATAATATTATTATTAATACTAAAATTAAAAGTATTTTTATATAAATTAAAATTTTACTTATTTTATATAATAATTATAATATTTTTTATACTAAATAATAAATTATATAAGTATTTATTCTATAATATCTAATTATTTAAATTTATATTATTTAAAATTATTAATTATTTTAAGATTTTATTAGTTAATATTATTAAATCTAAGTATTATAAAAATATTATTAAATATATCTAATATTAATTCTAAATATTAAATAAAAAAATATATAATATTTAAGATATTTTTTTAAATAATTCTAGAAATAGAACTGTTTAATCTAATTTTATAAATATTTTTTATATATAAATATTATTATAAAAATATATTTAGGTAAGAATTTATATCCTAATTTATTTATTAAAACTAATATAATTAGATATAAAAATATGATTATTAATTATAAATATTATATAATTATCATTAAAAAATATTAAGACCTTATTTTCTTTTTATAAATTTATATAAAATCTAATTATATTAATATATTTATTTATGTAATATAATTAATTATAGTATTATTATATTTAAAAGTTTATTTATTTATTAAAATATATATTAATCTTACTAATATTAATTATATATTTAAATTAAAAAATAATATAAGAGTATTAATATATATATATTTAGTTAATATTTTTTTTATTTATTAAAATAATAAATAATATATTTATTTTTATAACTATTAGTTATTATATCTGAATAAAAATATTTATAAATAATAAATATATTATAATATATATTATCAAAAATTATATTATTAAATTTAATTATTTTATTATTTATATTAAAATATTATATTCTAAGAATATTAATATTAATAATAAATTATATTATAAATATATTTTTAAAGTTTTAGTATATATTATTTAATTAAATATTTTTTAAATAGAGTAAAATTTTTTTAAATATTAATAATATTAAATTTTTTTTATTTATATATCTAGTTATACAGTCTAGTTTTTATATTAATAATTTTAATATTAATAATATTATTATTTATAATAATTCTAAAACTATTTATTAATTTAAAAAAATATTTATATTATTTAATATATAAGCTTTATTAGATAATTTAAATATTAATATAATTAATATTTCTAAAAGTTAATAATTTTAAATCTTTTTTAAAAAGAATAATTAAAAAATTATATACTAAAACCCTAAGTATATTAAGTTTTAAAATATAATTAAAAGATAATTAATAGTATATTTACTTTTTTATATATTATAAAATAAATATTATATATTATAAAATAAATATTATATATTATAAAATAAATATTATATATTATAAAATATACTTTATTATTCTATTTAATATTTATAATATAATATATTATAAATAATATTTAAAAGAATATATTATAATTAATCTCTATATTATTAATTAAAAAATTAAATTTAATTATTATTTTATTTTTATATAAGAAGAAATTCTTTAAAGAATTTAAAAATATTATATTATTTTTATTATTAATATTATTTATTTTTTTATTAATAACTAATTTATTATAATTATATATTACCATTAAAAAATATTTTATATTATTATTATAAAATATATTAATTTAATAATATATTTAAAATACCAGATAAATCTTAATTTATAAAAGTTCTAAAAATTTTATTATATTTATATTAATAATATAATTATTATTTCTAAAGATTTAAATAAATATTTTATTTATTTTAATCTTATCTTTAGTTATTTTAAGAAAATAAACTTAAAGTTTAAGTTTATTAAAACTTTTATTAATTTTTTTTATAATATTTCTAGATTAGTATATTAATATATTTAATATTAATATATTTAAAAATAAATTTTAAATTAATAAAAAAAGTTTTTTTTATAAATCTAGTTAACATAGATTATTTTCTTAATTTTATAAAATAATTATATTATTATATATAATATCATTATTAAAAGACTTTAGTTTTACTGAATTATAAAATAATATTAATTAAAAATTATTCTAGTAATTATTAAGATTATATTATTTATATTATATTTATTTATATTAATAAAAAATATAAGATATTTAAGAACCTATAATATAAATTTATAGATTTAAAAAAACTTATTTATTATAATTTTAAATATTAGTTTTATATTAATCTTAATATTTATTATAATAATTATAGTTTTATAATATATTATATTTTAAATAAATTAAAATATTAAAATTTATCTAAATTATTTATTTATATATATATATAATTAACTTTAATTTTAAATAGAACTTTAATTCCTGTAAAATATGTTTATTAATTTATTAAATTAAAAATATTAAATTTTATATAAATATTTTATAAATTAAAATATCTTATATAAATTATACTATTGTTTTTATTCTTTATTATTTATATAGATTTTATAAATATTATTAATATATTTAAGTAGATTATATTAAATATTATTATAGTTAAATATCTTATTTTATATTTTATTTATATTTTTTTAATATATTTAGTAGTATAATTTACTTATATTTTATATTTATATTATACTTAATATTATTATTAATTTTTTTTATTTATTTTAAATTAAAGATATTTTTTATACTATTCTAGAATATAATTTTAAAAATATTCTTATTAATATTTATTAAGTATCTGAATATTATACTATATCTATTATTAAAATTAATAATTTTCTAAAAATAACAAGTTTATAATAATTATATCTCTAATCTTTAAGTATTAAAAATTATTAATATTTTATAATTTAATTTTTAAGTTAATTTTTTATATTTTATATAAAATAATTTTTTCTATAAAATTAAGAATATTAATATTAGTATATCTAATAATATTATTATAAATAATAATATTAATTTAATAAAGTAATTATAAATATATTTATTTTATTTTTTTATATCTAAACCTTTTTATATTATTTATAATAATTATAATTATTAATATTATAAGAAATATCTTCTAGAGTTAAATAACTTTATTTTTTATAAAATATATAAATTATTTTATAAACATATTTTTTATTATTTTATATATTTAAATATAAAATCTAAAAATATTAATTATATATATGATATTTTTATAATTAATTATTTTTATTATCAAATTATTTCATATAATTATTATAAATTTTATTATAACTTTTTCTATTAAAAATAAAAATATTTAAATATTTATAGTTATTAATAAACTTATAAAATATATTAGTATAATTAAAGAATAATCTATTATAAAAATAAGTAAATAAAGAATTATTATTATATATTAAATATAAAAATATAATTAGAATATTTTAAAAAAAATTTTCTAATTATAATATTTACTTTATATTCTTTTTTTAAAAAAAAATTTATATTTTAGTTTTTATTAATTTTATTTTATTATTTTATATTTTTAAATAAATAATTAATTAAAATATATAATCTAAATTATTAAAATAATAATATATTATATTATAATCTAATAAAATTATAGTTTTTATTATTTTATGTATTATTTTAATAATTAATTCTATTCTAAATACTATTATAAATAAATAATTTTATTAATTACTTTTTACTATAGATTTTTAATAGTTATAATATTTTATTAACTATATTTGAAATTATACCTGGCTATCTAAAAGTAAATTTATTAATATTTTTAAAAAATAATATAGTTTCAGAATATCTAAAGATTAAAATTATTATTTTCTTATATTATTAAGACATTTCTGTTGAATAAATTAAAAAATATTCTAGATATTTCTAAAAGATTTTTATTATTAAAATTAATATTAGTTAAAACTTTTTATTATATTTTAATATTAAGAAAGTTTTTAAGTGTATAGTTATTTATATAAAGAAAATATATAATATAAAATATAAAGTTATCTTTTTCTATATTAATAATTTTATATATTTATATATATATAGAAAATATATTATCTTTACTATTAAAAGTACTAAAATTAAATTAATATAATAATATATTAGCCTGTTTTCTATTATAAAATTATTAGATATTATATATATTATCTTAATTTTCTAGAATTATAGATTATTTATTTTATTATTTTTATTATACAGCTTAAGTCTATTTTTATAAAAATAGATTTTTATAATTATATATTATTTTAGTTTTTTTATATTATTAATAAATTATTTCTTAATAAGAAATACTAGGAAGTTTCTATTATTTAAAAAAAATATATTATTTTATATAGATATAATAGAAAGTTTATTACTAAGTATTTTATTTATTTATTTAGATATAACTTTATTAATAATATCTAGATCTATAAAGAAGATATTATAATAAATAATTTAATTTATAAATTTAAAAAGTTTTAGTTATTCTGATTATAGTATATTATTTTCTTATACTTCTATTTTGTTTTATCCTATAAATATAAAATACTCTATATATCTTTTAATATTTTTATTATACCACTATTTATATATATAATATTATTCTATAAGGATATCAAATTTACTGAATTAGTATATATAATAAATTCTAGTTTATTTAAGAAATTTTATTATTTTATTTTTCTATTATCTTCTATATTATCTTAGCAGAAGACTTCTCAAACCTCTGAGTTTCAACTATTCCTGAGAATTCTCCCTAATTCAATCGTCTTACTTACTTACCTCTCAGCCTCTGCCATCAACTACCATAATACAGAATTCTTGCTTAAATTAAGATTTAGAATATATTTAAATTTAGCAAAATTAATATTCTTATAGAATAATATTATATATATATAAATATATATATATTAAAGAGATTAATAAATATATAAAGTAATTTATATTTATAAAATAAAAAAGAAAAAAATATAAATATAAGAAAATTATATATTAGAAGTAGAATAACTAATATCTTTCAAATTTGTAGATTATATTATTTACTATAATATCTTTTTTATAAGTTTATATATTACTAATAAAACTGTATCTAGATTAATAAATAAAATACTTAGTAGTAGATTTTTTAATATATTTATATAAAATAATATACTTTCTGAAAATAATAAAAGCTTTCTAGTATTTGTTACTAGAAAATTACTTATTAATAATATAGAGAAACTAGAATAATAATATATAGTTATAATAATAACAGAAATAATTTATAATTTTTTAAAATTAAATTAATATATATGATATCTAGTAGTTATAATAATAAAAGACTTAGATTAGAGGCTTTTTTAATTTTAAAATATAATAAAAAATCTTAACTAGTATTAGTTTTAATAATAAGAACTTTTTAAAAATATTTGGAATATCTTTTAACTTACTTAACAGAAATGATATAATAATATAAAAATATAACAGTCTTAATTTTAGAATATTCTAGAATTATACCTGTATTAGATATACTAGTATGTTTAGAAACACTAGTATTTTTATTTTTAGATAATTAAATATATTATTACGGAAGCAAGGAAGGATCATATATAGGCTTTATAGATTAATGTAAGATAATGTAGAAGTCAGGAAGGCAGAGAGACTGATAGATTAATTAAGAAAAATTTCTTTTGTAGTTATAAATACAGTATTATAGAAAGGCAGAATACAGATATTCTGAAAATACTATAAATACCAGTATCTTAGTGATAGTATCTATATTGTTAAATCTAAATATATATATTTGAAAAATAATAGGAAAGTAGTTGATATAATTAAAAGAAAAGATACAAAATAATATATATATATAGAGAAAGCAGAAAATAGTTTTCTATAATAATAAATACAGTAATAGAATAAATAATTAATAAAAAATAATAAAAAATAAAATATAGTCAAAAATATTATATTTTATAATATTTATTAAATTTATAAATTAAGTTATCTGTAGTAAAATGCTTAGTTTTTATTTATTTATTATTTTTAGAATTATATTTTAATTAATAAATAAGATAGTAAGTAACAGGGGTTAAAAAATAATTATATAAAATAATATACTAATTTATAATTATTAAGAATTTCTAATAATTACTTTAACTAAAAAACATTTATTAATAATATATAATAATTTAGCTAAGACTCTGCTATATAATACTTCTTTAAAAATAAATTTTAATTAAATAATAAATATAATTAGATATATTTTTTATATATCTAGAAACTAAAAATAATATATATACTTTTTAATATTCTAAAAATAAGAAAAAGGTTAATATATTATTATATTAATTAAATCTTTTTATTCTTAATAGTAGAGATAGCATATTCTTTATAAAAACCAAAAATATATATAATTATTAGAATAGAAAATAATAAACTTATATCTTATATTATAAAAGTATCTTATATATAATATAATATATTTTAAGACTTCTTCTATCTTAAAATAGAGACTAGAATACTAGATAAAATTATCATTAGTATTAATAATAATATTTTAAGATAAATAAATAAAGATAATAACTTTTATTTTCAAGTATTTAGTATTATAGAAAATATTTTTAATAATAATATGTTAGTATATAAAAGAATATATATTATTAAAATATTATATATCTTTATAATATTAAAGAATCTTTAATTAAATACTAGAATTAATATAAGAATATTCTAAATATAAGATAATATAGTATATTTTTTAAAAAGATATTTAGAAATAAATTTATAATAATAGAAATTAATAAAATAATAAATAACTATAATTTTTATTAGATTAATATATAATATATTATAATCATAATTATTTAAATTATATATTTAGATTAATTATCTATTTATAAATATATAATTATAGAATAAAACTAGTAAATATCTAAATAATTAAATAGCTTTTTCTGGAATATAAATATGAATTATAGATTATAATTAAATATAAATATTATAAATATATATTAACTATATTTTGAAAATATTTAATAATAATAATACTCTACTACTTTATTGAGATCTTAAAATATTTTTTAAATATATTATTTCTTTTAGTAGATTTATTTCTAAATATAAAACCTTATTTATTACTATATTCAGTAAAAAGTATAACTATAAAATCTATTATTAAAATATAAAAAAACTCAATTATAGAAAAGAATTAGACTTTTTATATAATTAATATTTATATATTTTATTTTATAAATATACTAGATAATAGATAATATATTTTTTTAATAATTTATAAATCTTCCAAGTAATTATATTATTAGAATTAAAGATATACTTCTTATATTCTTAAGAATTATTTTTATTATAAATAATATAAAAAATATATTTAATTAATAAATATAAAATATATATCGAGGATTTCTCTAATATAATATAATTATTATTTTTAATAGTATATATTTTACTTTTTGAATTGATAATACTGTTGGTATTATAAATAATTTATTTTCTTATATAAGAAAAACTATTTGTAAAAAATAAAGAAAACCAGCACTAGAATTAAATTTAAGATTTTCAATAATTTTAAATATATAAAAACTATTAGAGTATTTATTATAAATTTATTATTTAAAAATTTTAGAGCTTTTAATTATATATATAAAATATATATAAATAATTATAAATATATTTATAGAAATATTTTTAAGATTATATTTTGAAATATATTATTATTTTCTATCTAGAAAAATAATGAAAAGTATTAATAATATTATTAATAATATTAGAATAATAATACATAATAAAATAAAATTATTATATATATTAATTTATTCATTTTAACTAGAGATTTAAATATTCAATAATAATTATATTAAATATAATCTATTTAAATAAAGTAACTATACTAGAATAATTTATATAAAAATAAAAAAGATTTCTATATGTATTACTTACATTATATATTTTTAATCTTAAAAAAATAAATTAAATAAGATACTTTTAATTTAATTAATTAATATTTTTTTCAGTAAATATAAGAACTTAAATTAAAAATATAATTAAATAAATAAGTATTCTAAAAAATACTTCAAATAAATTCTTATACTTATAATTATTAAAATAATAGAATATTATATTTTATTTTTACAAATATAAATCTAGATCTAAGTAAATTTACTTAAATAAAATAAAATAAATAAATTTTCTAATATTACTAAGTTTATTTTAAAATATTTAATAAATATAAAGTTCTTTAGATATTAGATTAATAATTAATATTTTATTGATATAATTTTAATAAGACTAGTTTATATATATAGAAGTATATAATCTAGAAATAGTAAAGTATATTAAAATAATCTATTTTTGAATAGTAATATTTTAATAATATAATAATTTACATAACTATATAATTAACTAGTAAAGTGTAAATAATAGTTTAATTATATACAAGTCTTAAAAAATATAAGTTTATAAATAATATTAATCTTCTTTTCAGGAATTAATAAACTTAAGGTATTAATATATTATTTGAATAAAAAACTAAAAAATCTAATAAAGACTTTAATTATTTCTATTTTAATATCTATGTCTTTAAGGTTTCTAAAAACTAATAAAAAGTAATTTAACTATTTATTAAATATTTTAAAAATAATAATAATAATATTAATATATATTTTAGTAAATTTCTTAAGTTCTTATAGAATTGAATCTATTTAATATTATATATAAAATATAAAATTAATAAATTTTATAATAATAATATAAAAGACTTTCTGTTCTCTATATATAATAATTATAAATTAATCTTAATAAGTCTAAAATATAAATTCCTAATAAAAGGATTAAGTAGTATCTACTACAGTAATATAAAAATAATTTTTATATAAAAACTAGATAGAAATCTAATTTAGTTTTATAATTAATAACTTTTAGATTAATAATAAAATATTTCTTAATTTAACTATTTCTCTATTTTTAAATAATAAATACTAGATATATAGATAATATAGATTCTTTAGTAGATAATAATTTATTAATAATATATAAAGAATTAGAAACTAAATTAATAATAACTTTATTCTGGTCAAAGAGATAATAAATTTAAGATATATATTTAATTATATAATTTTATTATTTATTCTTTAATAAAATATATAATTATTAATCTTCCAGGATATAAATAGTTCTGATATTAGAAATATTAAATAAGATCTAGATATTATAAAATATAATAAAGTTTAATAAATAATTATATTATTAGAAAATACTAGTAATCTCTCTTTATTAATTTTATACTTTATTTTTAAAAGATAAGATGGTTTGAGAATATTCTTTAAAATATCTTTTAATAATTTCAGCTTGTATTCTAGAACTTAATTAATATTATAAATTGTATTAGTATTTATAGCTTCTGATATACATAATAATTAAATAGTATAATAATAATATATATAAATATATATATATATATATAAAGCTTAAGATATTAAATAAATAAATTCTGAAATAGTATCTTCTACTATATAAATTACAATATATTTATTATTGAAAAGTATATTAATTTTAATATATTAATATAATATTACCAGATCCATGAATTCATTAATAGTTTTAATAAAAAAATATTTTAATTCAATAAATATATAAGGATAAGCTAGTATTATTTTTTAATTCAGAAATATAATTAATATCTATATAATTTACTATTTTAATTTTAATAAATATCTTTACTCATATATCTAAAAAAATGATTATTTAAGCAGAATAAACTAGTATATTAACTTAGTTAGTAATAGTAATAACTTACAAAGAAATATATAAATATATAAATAAAGAATTATTATTTAATATTTATAGTTAAGACCTAAATTTCTTTTATATATTATATTAACACTAATAAATATATTAAAATCAAGATTTTTAACTAAATATACTTTGGTTTTTAAAATAAGTATAAACAGGGCTAGAAACTTAAACCTTTCTTAAAAACTATATTTATAGAAAATATATATTAAGAATTATATATTAATTAAATTTATATATAAAACTAATTTATTCAATATAAAGTGTATTTTTAGATTTTTAAATCCTAATACCGGGGATTAAATAGATATAAAGAATATTAGTAATTATAGATAAGTATCTAGTATTAATATATATTATATAATACTTAATTATAGTATTTAAAGTAATATTTATTATAGTTATTTTAGATATTTAAAGAATTCTATTATCTATATTAAT